GTGCTCTTGGGCGGACAAATGTTTGGCCTTGGGAATGTCTGGGGGGTCAGGTCTGTAGGAGAGCCCGCAGGGGCGTCGGCAGGACCGTCTTAGTCGCTCGTTGCCGTGGCCCTTGGTTCGCAAAGTTTCGCGTCAACATGCTCTTGGTGCGCGAAATGTCCGGCCCAGATTTCCGTTGCGCCGAGGGCCCAGCATGGCTTCCATCTAGAACTTCAAATTCTGAGGTCGCCCCCCTAGGGTTCCATTGCAAACGGCAGCCTGACACGTCTGGGCAAATGCCGAAATCGATGTGTAAACTAGCTTAGAGGACACGCGAATAACAAAAACGCCGCATCTGATGATATGGTACACTCAAACGGGCCTGCGCTAACACACTGGCAAATCATTGGGCAAACCAGCGCCCGTCGAGCACAGCCGCGTTTACGACCAGACAAGGAAGCCTACAACAGGCCCGCGTTTCCGCGAAACGTTGTCGGGCGCCAGCGGTGAAAACCCCGCGGCCGTAGCGCGCTAACTGGAAAGACAACCTGACGCCGATGTCTCTGCGCAAAGCGGCCCAATGCTGCCGCGCGCACGGCGGCGCAGAGGCTGCCCCCGTTGCATTTCTCCACGCGCGACGGCCCAACGCCTGCGTTTCCCGCGGGGGGCGGCCCGTCGCCTCCGCGCGCGCAGCGGCGCAGGGGCCGCCCCCATCGCATTCTTACGCAAGCGGCCCAACGCCGCCGCGCGCGCGGCAGCGCAAAGGTCGCCGCCGTCAAAGTTCTCTGCGCACGACGGCCATGCGCCGCCGCGCGCACGGCGGCGCGGGAACGGCTCGCGCTGCATCTTCTGCTCGCGACGGCCCCAGCCCGCCGCGCTCGCGGCGGCGCAGAGGCCGCCTCCATTTCGCCTGTCCATGCACGACGGCCAACGCCGCCGCGCGCACGGAAGCGCCGAAGCTGGTCTCGTCGCGTTTTTTTTCTGAGCGCGGCGGCCCCGCGCCGCCGCGCGCACGGCGGAGCAGGGGCCGCCACCGTTGCGTTTCCTCGCGCACGCAAGCCCAACGCCGCCGCGCGCGCGGCGGCGCAATGGCCGCTCGCGATGCGCTTCTCCGCGCACGACGGCCCTGCCTCGCCGCGCGCGCGGCGGCGCAGAGGCCGCCGGCGGCGCGCCTTCCGCGCGCGACGGCCCAGCGCCGCCGCGCGCGCGGCGGCGCAGAGATCCCCGCCCCCGCCGCACGTCACAACGCTCGACGGCCCAGTGACGCCGCGCGAGCGACGGCGCAGAAGCTGGCCTCGTCACAATTTGTCCGCGCGCGACGGCCCAGCGCCGCCGCGCGCGCGGCGGCGCAAGGGCCGCCCCCATTGCGTTCCTCTGCGCACGACGGCACGGCGCCCCCTCGCGCGGCGTCGCAGAAACCGCGCTCGGCGCGCTTGTTCCACGCGCGACGGGCTGGCGCCGCCGAGCGAGCGGCGGCGCAGAGGCCGCTCCCGCTGCATGCCTCCGCGCACGTCGGCTCAGCGCTGCCGCGCGCGCGGCGGCATGGAGTCGTTGGCCGAGCGGTTGCCTCGGCGTCAGCCGAACGGTTGTTGTGAACTTCGATTGCCAGGGCTTCCCCTGTCTTGGCGTCAACCATGCGATTTGGGCGACGCGCGCTGCGCTGCACTCCTCTATCTCGCGCCGTGCGCGAGCGGTTTTTTGCGATGGCACATTGTGTTTCGGCGCCAGCCGAGCGATTTGCGTGAACTCCAACCACCAGAGGGTCCAAGTGCAAGGGTCTAGTAGGCTCTGGATCGCTCGAAGCGCAAGCGTCTGCGAGGCTCTGGGTCGACCGAGGCTTCGATCGCCTGGGCGATTCTGGATCGCCCGAAACCGAACGGGCTAGAAAAAACTCCAGGCCACGCGAAGCTCATTGACCTGGGAAGTCTGGCACCCACCGCGAGCGCGGGTGAGCGCACCCATGCGCTGGCGGCGTGCGTGGGCGGAGGCGCCCAGGCACCGCGGCGCGCGCCCGAGTTGACCCCCCCGGGTTGGCCGCCCGAAAATACCGACCAAATGGGCCAGGCGAGTTGACCGGCCGAAGTGATCGGCCGAGTCGAACGGCCGAGTTGATCGGCCGAGTTGATCGGCCGAGTTGATGGGCCGAGTTGATGGGTCGAGTTGAACGGCCGAGTTGATCGGCCGAGTTGATGGGCCGAGTTGATCGGCCGAATTGATCGGCCCAGCTGATCGGCCGAGTTGACCGCGCGCGCGCGCGTTGACGAGCTGATCGGCCCAGTTGGTCGGCCAAGTTGATCGGCCGAGTTGATCGGCCGACGCGCGCTTTGATGAGTTGATCGGCCGGATTGACCGCCCAACCGCGCGTTGACCGCCCTGCCGCGCGTTGGCCAACCGAGTTGACCGCCCGGGTTGACCGCCCACCCGCGCGTTGACCGCCCCGCTGCGGCGTGACCGACCGAGTTGACCGCCCAAGTTGACCGCCCAGCCGCGCGTTGACCGCCCGGCCGCGCGTTGGACGCCCGAATTGACCGCCCGAGCTGCCCGCCCAACCGCGCGCGGACCGACCTGGATCGACCGCCCATAGGCCCGTTGACCGCCCAAGGTTGACCGCGCAACCGCCCCCTCGCACGGAGCCGCGAAGGCAAGTGGCGGGCGAGACTCGGCCACGACGCGCTGGGAGACACCAGCGGCCTCATAGGCATGTCCGAGTGAAGACCGCTCAGGCTGCGTTTTCCGCGCACGGAGGTGCCCGGCCGTCGCGCGCGCGGGAAATCCAACGCGATCGCCCTTCCAGCCATCGCGCGCGCGGCGGCGCAGAGGCCGCCTCAATCGCGCTCGCGCGCGCCAGGCGGCGCCGCGCCGCCGCGACAGTGGAGCGCGCGAATGCAAAGTGCTGGCTGGCAGGGTTTCTCCATTCGCTGAGGGGGCTCGCCCGCCCCACCGCGCGCTTTCCCGCGCGCCGCCCCTTCTCCCGAGGGTTCCCGGGCGACCGCGCTGACTCCCTGAGTCTGCCCGAATCTCCCAAGACGGCCCCGGGTGGCAAACGGCCGCCAAGATGGCCTCAGGTTCTTTCTTGGACGGACAAAGATGGCTCCGAGACAAATCAACGCGGCACCACGGAGGCCCAGCACGAAACCAATATGCTTCAGAGAAGCCCTCAATACGTCCCAGGGCGGCTCAGGGGGGCTCCAAAAGGACCCCGAAAGACCCTAGGGACGACACTCGCTGATTTTGATACGGCGCTTCATTGATTTGAGTACATCATCGCTCGCGGCTTCAATCAGCCTGAGACGGCCAACGAAGCCTCCAACGTTGCCCTGAGACGGCCCAAGACGCCGCAACAATGAGCCGAGAAACCCCTCAGAATGCGGCACAGGACGGCCCCAAGAGAGCCCCAAGACAGCCTACGAAGACAGCGAAAAGGATCCAAGACGGCCCGGGAGGGCCTCTCGACCCCCGACGGACCCAGGCGCCCCCGCGGCGCCCCGACGAAGGCCGCAAGAGAGACCCAAGACGGCTCATGTGGAGCCCACAGCAACCCAGGAAAGCCGCAAGGGGCCCGCAAGACGGCCCCACAGGAACCCATGACTGCCCTGATACGGCCCAATTGAGCTCCATGAGGGCTCTTCAAGAAATTGATTGGGAACGCGCGCATGTGACAGCCTAGCGTCTTCTTCGCATTATCATCGCCGTCCTCGTCGCCACCGTCGTCGTTATCATCGCTCGAACAGTCGCCGCCCAAAGAGCTGGACTGGCGCGGTGGAGAGACTTACTTCTGGCAGCTGGGCGCAATGCGAAACGCACTCGGCGACGCGCACGCGGTGCTCTCTTCAGAAGACTTGCCCCCTTCCCTTGGCTGTGCAACGCGAGCCCCCGCGCAAACAGCGCGTGACATCGAAGCCCCGCTGTGAAAATGCGCGCTCGCGCGTTCGCGTGCTTCGCGCTGCGCGGTGCGAAGCAAAACTCGCGCAGACAAGCGCGTGCTCGGGTGGTCCGCGGCAGTGAGGCCGTTTGCGCCGCGGGCCATAGAACGAGCCGCGCGTCGCGGGACCCAAGGGGAACCGCGCTGTCGGCGAGCGAATGGTGCGCGCAGAACTCAGGAAATCAAGACCGCCACCCCGCCGCAAATCTGAAGTCGATCTTCGTTGTTCTACCATGTGGGCCGGCGTCGCAGACGGACGGCATCGGAAGACCGAGGCCGAAGACTAATACCGAGGCCGAAAACCAACTTGCATCGCAAGACACAGCTGCAAAACCAAGGCCGAGCACCGACGCCCTGGGGCACTGGTCGAAACCGGCAACCGCGCCTAACCCATCGGACAACCCACCCCGAAAACCGACATATATGCAGTAGTGAAAAACAAACGGCACTTTCACGTGCGCACCAACAGCTACGAATCTGGAACCACAGCTTAACCCAAACAAAATTCAAAACAACAAATTGACCCCAAAAACCTTCACACCAAAACTAAAACTGATTTCCGATTTAATCGCTGTCCCTGCTCCTTCTGGGGCCATTCCTACAGACGACCCTGTTCTCTGACCCCCGGACAGACCCAAGTTTGGCCACGACATCGTGCAATAGTTGGAATTACTGGCTCTGGTTCTTGGAAGTGAGGGAGGGAGGACGTGGAGCCTAGATGATCATGCTTAATCATCGTCGGTAGTCGCCAGGAGTGGCCAGCGTTTCCATCCTGCGGTTCACTTGCTGATCGCATTTCACCGACACAATAAAACTGAAAACACAGAGTCAGCCTCATTCACTGGAAGAAGACAATGCCACCCTGAATTTTTTGGGGGGGGGCGAAGCGGCACAAACATTGACGATGAATGTGTTCTGTTCGAAGCGCGATCTTGAAACTGTCCTGGTGGCGCTACGAATCCTGAAATGTACAAGCGCGACTGAAACATTGCCTTCGACACAGCCTGCCGGCTCCTAGAGCTCGTCTGCCACCTGCGTCCAGAGCTCCCGAGGTATGCAAACTTTCTTGCTCAATTCCTCATCCTGGACCTCGTTAAACTTAGAGGGCATCCGTGACGCGTGCCACGACGGGGACTGCTGCGCATCTTCCGCGCCGCCACTCGTGCCGTCCTCGCAGCCGAAGGATAATCGCAGGCTCCCCTTTTGGAGGCCGTCCGAATGGGTTCCGAATAGGTGGGGTCGGTGGATCGCGCCGCATCGCCGATGCATCGGCGATGCGATTGACAAGACCGGTAACCAAATCGAGCTCTAATGCTGATGCATCCGCGATACGGCACGACCCACCAACCATTCTGCTTTCACCCCATTTGGGCGGCCTGGCCTTTCTGGCTCTTCTCCAGCCAGCGCCCTCCTCCTCCTCGTCAGGGCAGCCCACAACCACAGGGACAGCGACACTGCCCCCCCCCCCTCCCACGCGCAGGATTGGGTGGTCGGACGAAAGGGGCGCTAAAAAGGGGGCTAGCGAATCAGCTTGCGCCGATGATGTCTCCAGCGCCAGGAAGCACCAGGAGCCCGTGTGTCGAGGAAAGCGCGCGACGGCGGAGACGAAACAGGCTGCACGCAGCGGAGTTCGTAAATGTCGTAGCGCCCCCTCCCCAATCCCCCCCACCGCTTCGTCCGACCCGACAGAAGCGACTTGCCATCGCTCGGACCTATTCCCCGTGCATTTCTCGATTTCGTGCGTGTTTGCTTCGCAACATGGTCAAGGATTAGGGGAACAAAAAGTGGCATAAACATAAATACTCGGAGGTCCGCGCGGATTTCTCGGATCGGCGCTGGACCCCCCTCCCTGGCGCGCGGAGCGCGCCAGGGGCGGCGCTGGAGGCGCCGCCAGGGGGGCACAGCGCCGATCCGAGAAATCCGCGCGGACCTCCGAGTTTTTATGTTCATGCCACTTTTTGTTCCCCGAAGCATGGCGATCTCGCCGTGCCGGTGGCTTTGGCTTCCCCCGTCCTCGACGTCCGAGACGATGATGGACGCCTGCCCCGAGGTCTGCCTTGGGGGAGTCTGGCGGGCGAGTATGGGCTCTCCCCCTTTGGGCTCATCCTGCCTTTCCTCCTCTCCTTCGCCCTCACAGGAAGGTGTCTATCTCTTTGAGCTGGTGGTTGCACCTGGGACCGTGACTTTAACAACGTCTGGGCATATATGGTCGAGGGTTTGGGCCCCCCCCCCCTCCCCCCAATGCTAATGCCATCGGCTCCCCCCCCCCCCCCGCGCGATGGTCCCCCCCCCGTGGGCGCGGACGTGGCGTGGTGGCCCCGCCGCCCCCCCACCCCACCCTGTGGGAGTGGTGTGGGGTCCCCCCTGTGGATGTGCGGTGGTTAGGGGTCCGCCTCAGCCAAGAGTCGGCGTCGCAGGCGCCGCCGCCGCCGTCGTGTCGTCGTTGTCGTCGTCGTCGTCTTCGCCATCGTCGTCGTCCTCAGCCTTTGCCTCTGGAGAGTGGCGGTTACATGGGGCGAGGAAGCGAGAGGGGGGAGCAAGATAGGGAAGAGAGGGCCAAAAACGAGGAGGGAGGGATGGAGGGGCGGATGGGGGGAGGAGGAAAAGGAACATCGTCGTCGACGGTGTCTTCACCGTCGTCGCCTCCTTCTGGGTGTGGCGTTGTGTTCCGGTGTTTCAGGGAGCCAGGGCGGACGGTGTCTTCGTCGTCGTCGCCGTCGTCGTCGTCGTCCTCCTCCTCCTCCTCCTCCTCCTCCGCCTCCTCCTCTCCTCCTCCTCCTCCTCGTCCTCGTCCTCCTCCTCCTCCTCCTCCGCCTCCTCCTCGTCCTCCTCCTCCTCCTCCTCCTCCTCCTCCTCCCCCCCTCCATCCCATCTGGGGGGGGGGCCCGAGGGCCCTGGGACCCATCCCATGTGGGGGGGGCGGGCCCGTGGGCCCGGAGCCCGCGATCATATATACCTGCTACATGTGGCGATCGAGGCATACAAGCGGCCATATATATATACACACACACGTGCAATAGAATCGAACATCATAAACTATAGCTGGGTATGAAGTGTAAAAGAACAGCATGGTACACAATACCATAACATGATATGCTACATTATGCAATGCTGTAATATAGCGTAACATAACACATCATAGCAGGTAGCCTTACTATGACATAACCTGAATTACTGTCATGATAGATGTCATATAATGATAAGCAGTGGTGCAGACTGTGCTATACTATAATCTGGTTTTAACTGTACTCATAGAACTTAATACAAACATGCTGTAATATCACGCTCTACCATATGATGTATATGTCACCACACCTCCGAACTTGTTTCTACTGCTCCAGAGACCCTCGCTCCACCGTTAACCATTTTTGTTCGGCTCGTGGCTCGCGCCTGCAGCAGCCCACCCTGAGCTCGGATCGGGCATTCGGGCTGCACTTTTGGGTACAGCGCCTCCCTTAGGGTCCGATGTCTTGAGTGCCACTCGGTGCCCCGAGTATGACTGATCACGTCCGTACGTGTTGCGGCATGCTCCGCCTCGTGCGGGTTCTGCTGGGGTGGCTATCTAGGCTGTCCACCCCCACCTCAACCTCCTTCCCTCCTCCTTCCTCGGAGGACGCGGGAACAGTACGAGTAGAAACTTCCAGAGGCCCAACCAGATTCTTGGGCCTCGTTGTGTTTTCGGGACTACGCAGTCCGAAGGCCCAGGCTTCCGAAGGACTGCTTTTTTCCAATCCGCGGGCCCAAGGATGGTCCTGACCCTTTCCCTGGGGCCAGCTCTTCGCCGCAGGCTCACACATATATGGCCTGGGTCCTGAATGGAGGGTTCGGTGGCAACTCATGGGAACCTCCCATACATCTTGCCGGCTCTTGCAAATCGACGCTGATCGACGCTAGTCGACGCTAATCAAGCGACGCGAAATCACCACTAACCGACGCCAAATCGGCGCAATCTCATCAACTCCCAGACGCCGAACGACACGAATCAACTAATAAGACGGACTTGAAGAGGTGTACCAGGCTCCCATGACTTGTTACCGAAGGAGGGGGAATGACCCCCAGTGGAGGAGGAGGAGGAGGAGGAGGAGGAGATGGAAGAGGAGGAGGAGGAGGAGGAAGAATGCGGAAGGAGGAGGAGGAGGAAGAGGAGGAGGAGGAGGAGGAGGAGGAGGAGGAGGAGGAGGAGGAGGAGGAGAGGAGGAGGAGGAGGAGGAGGAGGAGGAGGAGGAGGGGGAGGAGGAGGAGGAGGAGGAGGAGGAGGAGGAGGAGGAGGAGAGGAGGAGGAGGGAGGAGGGAGGAGGAGGAGGAGGAGGAGGGCGGGGGAGGAGGAAGGGGAAGAGGGGAAGGAGGAAGGAGGAAGGAGGAGGAAGCAGGGAGGAGCAGGAGGTAGAGGAGGAGGAGGAGGAAGGAGGAGGAAGGAGGAGGGAAGGAAGGAGAGGAGGAAGGAGGAAGGAGGAAGGAGGAAGGAGGAAGGAGGAAGGAGGAGGAGGAGGGAGGGAGGAGGAGGAGGAGGAGGAAGGAGGAGGAGGAAGGAGGAGGGAAGAAGGAAGGAGGGGGAGGAGGAGGAGAGGAAGGAGGAGGAGCAGGAGGAGCAGGAGGTAGAGGAGGAGGAAGCAGGAGGAGGAAGGAGGAGGAGGAGGGAGGAGGAGAAGGAGGAGGGAGGAGGAGGAAGGAGGAGGAAGGAAGGAGGGAGGAGGAGGAAGGAGGAGGCGAGCAGCCCGCCCGACCTCCGGGGGCGCCCCTCCCCCGGCCTGGCCTCGAGAGGCTGATGGGCGAGGGCAAGCCCGCCGCCGGCTCCAGGAGCTCCCCGCGAAGCGGGGACCGCCGGCTGGGGAGGCCGGCGGACGGCGAGGCCTGCGGGGGGGGGGAGCCCTCCTCGCCGTAGGTCGGGCACGTCCCCCTACAGGCAGAGCTTGAGCGAGAAATCCAACAGACTCACAGAATGCTCAGAAATAGATGAAAAATACTTGAAACATCGTCCCCAGACGAGTTTAAAACAACAACCGTTCTTGAAGATTCCTCCTGTAGAGGGACGCGCCCGATGAAATCCTCGCCTTCTGAGGAAAATCCTGGAGGCCTCGCGCGGCAACTTTAGACCCGATTGCCTCGGATCCACGTCGGATTCAGGTCGGGCTCACGTCGGACTACGTCGGAATTGCGTCAGACTGACGCCGAAGCATCGCCGCGGGAGCGTCGACCCATAGCTTACGGAGCTTAGGTCGGGGGAGGTGCCCTCCCCAAATGCGGCCGGTACCGCCTGGAATTCTGCGGCGGAGATCTGCGATTTCCCATGGAAACGGGACCCGTCGCTAACAGGGCTGAACCTAAACGGTGTTTTTTGTTTTCGATTTGTTTTCGTTTTCCCTCGCTCTCGACCCGCAGACCAAAAAGTTGTCGCTTTCCCTCGTTTTGTCTTCCATCCGCCTCTATCGCAGAATGGAGTGGAAACGAAAACGGCAGACGATATCGCAAAAACACCGTTCAGGTCCAGCCCTGGTTTGCCATCGCCTGATTCTCAGAAAGCCGGGGGACTTCCGAGCCTTCGGAGAGGGCCCGCCCCTTCTCACTTCCCCCCCCCTTCCGGCCCGCCGCCGCTCCTCCGGGGGAGGGCGAGGGCGAGGGCGAGCTGAGCACCGATGCCGCCGCGCCTCCCTCGTCGCCACAGCCGGACTCGCCTCGGGGTCCCAGTGAGTCGGGGATGGACAGACATCCCTTTGGTAAAACGCGGCTTGGTGAAAACGACCAATCGACGTGTCAGGGTGGGGGTCCTGTCCACTCCCGAGTGGGAGCGCGCCCCAGGGAAGGTCCGTGGCGTCGCGGGATGGCGCCGCGCCCCAGAGGAGAAACAACGCCATGAACACAAACTTGTGGCGTTCCGCGCGGATTGCTTGGATCCGCGCTGGGCCCCCCCGTGGCGACTCCGGCGGCGCCGCCCCTGGCGCGCTCCGCGCGCCAGGGAGGGGGGTCTAGCGCAGATCCCAGACATCCGCGCTGAGCGCCAAAAGTTGTGCTATGTTTATGACGTTTATTATTATTATTATTCGAATCTTCGTTGTTCCCCCTGGGAGGGCGAGGAGGGTGGCGAGGAGGAGGGGCCTGGAGGGCGAGGCAGGGAGGTGCGGGGGTTGCGGGGAGGGGGGGGCGGCGAGGAGGAGCAGCAGCGCCTCCAGGACGGGCGAGTCCTCCAGGATGGCCTGGGGCGGCATCAGCGCAAACTCCACCTGAGGCCGAGAGGGGCTCGACATATGTATATATATATATATACACACATGACTACTACTACTACTACTACTACTACTATACTACTACTACTACTACTACTACTACTACTACTACTACTACTACTACTACTACTACTACTACTACTACTACTACTACTACTACTACTACTACTACTACTACTACTACTACTACTACTACTACTACTACTACTACTACTACTACTACTACTACTACTACTACTTACTACTACGACTACTACTACTACACTACTACTACTTACTACTACTACTACTACTACTACTACGACTACTACTACTACTACTACTAATAATAAAAAAAATAATAATAAGAAGAAGAATAATAATGATAATAATAATAATAATACGAATACTAATAATAATACTACTAATACTAATCATAATAATAATAACAATAATAATACTTATTATTATAATGATAATAAAAATACTATCAATACTAATGGCACAGCTAATACTCTAAAAATACAATTATAACAATAAAAATGACACAACTAAATACTCTAAAATAATGACACAACTAATACTCTAATGAGTAGCGAATCGTAGAAATAATAACAACAATAACACTTATAACAACAATTATAGAAGCACACACCGGGGAACAACAAAAAAACCGTTTGGTCGCCCAAAAAGCTCGGTGTGCACCCCCCCCAGCTGCCCAACCCATGGGACGCCGGAGCGTCTGCACGCGCCGAATTCCTTCGCCGAACGCCTTGGCCCCTGACCGACCACCCGACACGGCGGACAGTAGAAAAAGAAAAACGCCGTGGACATAAACTCTTGGAGCTCCGCACGGATTTCTTTGATCTGCGCTAGACCCCCCTCCCTGGCGCGCGGAGCGCGCCAAGGGCGGCGCCGGAGGGGCCGCCAGGGGGGGCCCAGGCGCGGATCCAAGAAATCCGCGCGGAGCGCCAACAATATAGGTCTATAGCGTTTTTCTTCTTCGAGACATGGCGAGCCCCTCCGATTGGCGCCAGCAGTCGACGCTTCAGCGGTGGACAAACCTCCCTTTAGTCAACCGCCCTTTAATGGAAAACGGCCCAGGACCGAAACCGACGGACCTGGACCCGCAAAAATGACGGCCGCGACGCCCTCTCGCGAACCCAAGACGGCCAATTCGCTAATCGACGTGTCAGGGTAGGAGGGCACTCTGCTGGGCCTGTTGCTCCACCACCACCGCCACACATTGGAGGGGGGAGGGAGGAGGAGGAGGAGGACGAAGAAGAGGAGGAGGAGAAGGAGGAGGAGGAACGGCGGAACAGACCGCCTCTGCGCCCGCAGCGTCAGGAGGAGGAGGAGGAGGATCCCCTCCCCCTCCAACTCATGGTGGTGGTGGTGGGAAACAAGCCCATCATTGTGAGGGGGGGGGGAAGGGGGGCGGGGGGGGGGGGGGGTATGCTGTAACGCCTCCCCCCCCAGCCGTGTGCCCGATGCGCAGGGCGGCAGTGCCCGGAGCGCACTGGAGGGGGGGGAGGCGTTACGTTATATGGGGGAGGAGGGGGGGCCGGGGGCCATGATGCCCATTATGCCCCGAACAATAAAGAAACACGCTCCAAGCGGGGTGTTGACCACACCGTGGGGTGAGTCGGTGGGGATTCGGGGTCACCGCATGGTTTTGGGACTTGGGTCGTTCTCCGAAGATGTCTGGGGCGACTGGCGCCTCCAGGGTCCCCAAACCGTGTGGTGACGGACCGTGCGGTGAAGTCTTTGCGGATTTCGAGGTCACCGCCGGGTCTGTCACCACACGGTTTTTTGGGACCCAGACCCCCGACGCCGTGATCCTTTCACGACGTCGACCTCCAAGTGTGGAACCTTCCCCCGAGGTCGACGCGAATCGACACTAAACGGCGCGAAATCGACGCTGATCGACGCTAAACTGGCGCTGTCGGCGCGAAATCGATTCCCAGGCGCTACTCGGCGTGAGCCGACGCTGGAGACGGAATTGAGTATACCAAGCTCCCTCGACTCTCGCCATCGCTCGGACGTCCATTCCGTGTTTTTTTTTTTGTTGGTTTCGTGCGTGGTTTTTTCGCCAAGTGATCAGGGATGCTCCTCGATGGTCCTCACCGAGGAAAAAACGCACGCGTCCGAGCGATGCCGAGGACTTGCTGCCGCAGGAGTGGGGAACGACTCCCAAGAGTCTCGACCCCCTTCCCCGGGACCCGCTTCTCGTCCCGAGCCGTTTCTTGACGGCCCCGAGGCCCGGTGAGGGCCCCGGGAGGCCGTCGACCCCTGTGGACCCGAGGCGGCCTGCGCCCCGTCGGCGGCGACGATGGGGGCGAAGAGCCCAGGGGCGGGCATTGCACGCACTCGCCAGGGAGCCCTTTCGAAGGCATAGATACCATCGGCGCACCTGAATCCACGCAACCGAAGCCGTGCGAAAATACCCCCCCAGGGATCAGAAAGTTCGGGGTTCTGGCGGGGACAATCCACGACTTTCCCGGCGGGGTTCTAGCGGGGTTAATAAAGTCCGGGGTTCTGGATGATAAAGTTCGGCCTCCGCGCCTTCCCCACAGACAGATCCCTGTGGTCGGGGATGAAAAATAGAGGGGGAAAAGGGGGGGAAGGGGTTCCTCTCTTATCGCCCATCGGCGGGTACTGCTCTCCCTTGGGCTCTTCGCCCCGATCGTCGCCTCCGAGGGCCCCCCCCCGACGGGGGACCTTGTCTGTCTCGTCGCGGCCCTATCTGCGTCGAATCCGTGTCGAATCCATGTCGGACTCGTCGGATCCGTGTCGAATCCGTGTCGAATCCGTGTCGAATCCGCGTCGAATCCGCGCCAAATCCGCGTCGAGTCCGCATCGGGCCCGCGTCGGGCGCGAGAAACGAAACCCACTTCGGGGACAGGCGAGGTCTCCCGAACATGCAGCGTAACACGTCCAGGCCAGTGCCACCCTGGGCGTGGACCGCCTCAACGTGAGCATGCAGAAGAAGAACAACAAAAACACACAAATAGAAAACTTTTGGCGCTCCGCGCGGATTTCTAGAATTCGCGCGGAACCTCCCTCCCTGGCGCGCGGAGCGTGCGAAGGGGCGGCGCCGGAGGCGCCGCCAGGGGGGGCCCAGGCGCGGAACCAAGAAAGCCGCGCGGAGCGACCAAGGTCTTTGTTTGTGTGGCTTTTGCGCTTCTACGAGATCTGCAAGACGCCGACATGTAAAATCCACAGTCCACCAGGAGGAGGAGGGGGAGGAGGAGGAGGAGGAGGAGGAGGAGGAGGAGGAGGAGGAGGAGGAGGAGGAGGAGGAGGAGGAGGAGGAGCTGACATGCAAAACGCTGACATGTAAAAACGGGGCTGGGGTCGGTTTCCCAATGTTCACCCAGGCCAGTGCCACCTTGGGCGTGGACTGCCTTCGGGAGCGGCCAAGAGGGGGGTGTCCAAGAGGGGGGGGTGCAAATCATGGCCGGCGGCATGTGCGCGGCCCAGCGGGGGGGCCAGGGGCGTAATGAAATAAGAAGAGGCGCCATGAGATCTGGGGAAATATCATGCCCCCCGCCATGATATCCACCCCCCCCTAGTCATCACCCCCCTCTTTTCCGCCCCCGATGCCTCGACGCGAGCATGGGCGAAGGCTGCGCCGGTCCCGCGAGCGGCGAGGACTGCCTGGAGAAGCCCAGGGGTCCAACGGCAGGAGACAGCGCCGCCGCGGCGCACGGCGAGGACTGCCTGGAGAAGGCCAGGGGCCCAACGCTGGGAGACCCCTTCAGCGACATCAGCGGAGTGTTCACCATAGTCAGAAGAAGGAAAAATCTGCAGAAACATAGACTTGTGGCGCCCCGCGCGGATTTCTTTAGACCTGCGCTGGACCTCCCCCCTCCCTGGCGCGCGGGGCGCGCCAGGGGCGGCGCCAAAGACGCCGCCGCGGAGCCCCAGCGCGGATCCAAGAAATCCGCGCGGAGCGCCAAAAGTGCATGTTTACGCAATTTTTTCATTTCCGAATCGTAGAGTTCTGCGCCTCCATCCAGATGAGGGCGTCTGGGTCATCGTCGTGGCCACACGTCATGTCCGTGAACCCGAACTTCTCATACCACAGAACCAGATCGTCGTCTGCCGCTTCCAGAGAGACCCAGGCACACTTGGACTTCGGCATGCGCTGCGCCTTGGATATTGCCCACCTGACCAGGCGTCCTCCGTAGCCGCCGTGTCGAAACTCCCGAGGCACGAATATGAAGGCAATGTGGAATTCGCTGCGCGATTCGACCATCCGATAGGATAAGAACCCACGCAACCCCAGAGAGCCATCCGACTCCTTCGCGGCAAAAATGACCACGGTGCCGTCTTTCTTTGTTGCGTCGTTCATCCAATTCGACAGGTTGCAGTAGTCAATGTCGCGGCACTGCTGGATCAGCTCGTCAGCGGCCTCCGAGTTGAGGGCGTCCTCGAACACCTCGAGGCAGGGCTCCTGCAGCAGGCGTGACCCGAGGAACACCCAGCTCTGAGAGCAGAGCGGCGACATCGACCGCGCCTCGTTGGACGTGCAGATGACGACCGCGCCTGCGAAAGACTCGAGCTTCGCGCTGCTCAGCAGCACACCTGAGGCTCGTACGTCTATGTGTTTCAATTGTCTCTCCCCTCCCTACCCTTGCGCTCTCTCTCCTCCCTCTGACTCATGGGAGGGGGGGCCACGAAGGGGGTGAACGGGCAGGGGTGAGGGAGAGTGTGGAAGGATGGGGGCTAGAGACGAAGAGGGGAGGAGAAGGAGGGAAAAGGAAGAGCGGGAGTAGAAGGGGGCACAGCCAAGATGGCAAGATGGGTGAGCCCGGGCCAGATCGGGTTCCTGCCACTCCAGCCCCTATCCGTTGTGTAAGAGTTGCCAAATCGGCCACCTAAAAGTTGAGCGGGACCTTGACGCTTTAGTGGCATGTGCAACTCGAGGAAAACGGGAGCCAGGCGAGGAGATTGGGGAGAGGTTGAGGAGCAGGAGGAGGAGGACAAGTAGTAAAGTAGGAAACCGAGGAAGACTGCTAGGATTAGGTCGGGCATGTCCCCCCTACAGGCGGATCTTGAATGACAAATTAAGGAAAGGCAGAACTACGCAAAAACACAATTCCCCCAAACAAATGAATCATCGTGCCCAAGCTGTTTGTTTAACTATCATTAATTATTCCTCCTGCAGATGGACATGCCCGACTAGATGCTGGGAAGAGGGAAACGAAGAGGACAGCGATAGCCACAAAACGACGACGAACGCCGCTTCGGACGCCCGAAATTGGTACGGAAAGAATGGGTCCAATGCCCAACAACAAATGTCGTCCCAAACCAACAGCGGCCGCTGTTGGGCAGGCGGCCTTCTGTCTCGAATGGACACAGGTCGCGGCGGCGTGGACAGCGAGTCCTGTTCAAAATGAACAGGAACTGCTGTTGAGCATTGTACCCATTCTTTCCGTACCCATTTCGGGCGTCCAAAGCCGCGAAGCTCTGGAAACGACAAGGCCGTGTTTTTACCTGTTCCGTTTTGCCATTTTTGTTGCCGGTTCCGACGCCGTCTTTTTACCGGTTCCGTCACTGTTCTTTTACGGGTTCCCGCTCCGCTTCCAATCCTGGAGCCGTTTTTGTTGCCGTTTCCAGTCACCGTTTTTTTTGCCGTTTCCATTTTCAAGGGACACTTACTCAGGATTCCCTATCTTGTTATACACTTTCTGGGTTTTCGTCTTCCCCCCACCCTTCCCCATGTTTTCCCATGCTGTATGGGAATCGGGAATTAATTGTGCGCGTTTTTCCCCTCCTGCGTATTGGCGGCCGAATGCTGCGACTGCGCCCTTCGGGATGGCCGGGCGAACGGCGGAAGAGGGCAGCTGCGGGGGCGGCGGCGCCCGACCTGGACAGACTCAGGGGAGAGACGAGGGCAGCATCAAAAAAAGAGAGATCACATGAAGGGCCAAATCTTGAACTCCTGGGTGTGCACAATCAGCTCGTGGGATACGCAGCGCCCGCACTGGACAGGATCAGTGGAGGGTTGGAAGCACCACCCATCGGTCGGAAGAAGTAGGAAGTAGGTAGAAGCGCGAAGCAGGAAGACGTTGACAAAAGATTGGGTGTCCGCCCGCCCCGCAAGCAGTACGGAAAAAGGTGAGGCCACTCGATCATTGAATGACGAACCAACAACACACACCCATACCCATAGAGGGGTCGGAGAGGGCTATGGGTGCGTGTTGTCGGATGGGGGTCCCCGCTCGAACGGCAGCGTTCCCCAGGGTCCGACAACCCGCACCCATACCCATAGCCAGCCCTCCTCCCAACGACCCCCCTATGGGTATGGGTGTGTGTGTGTTGCTCGTTCGTCATTGAAGTAGGAACGCGCTTAAAGTAGATTGGAACTAGGGAGTCGAATCGTAACTTTTTTTCAACGACCGATGGGTGCTGATTTTGATAAACGGTGCGGGAAGACGTTGAAAATATATTGGGTGTCCGCCCGCCCCGTAAACAGTACGAAAAAAGTGAGGCCACTCGATCATTGAAGTAGGACAGCGCTTAAAGTAGATTGGAACCCGGGAGTCGGATCGCAACTTGTTCTTCAGCGACCGACGGGTGCTGATTTCGAGAAGCGGTGCGGGAGCGGCGGGTCTTGGTCTCCGCGGCGGGCGCCGAGGCGAGGGCACCGACCACTGGCGGCCGAGCGCGGCCCGACTGCACGGGCGGAAACACAAAAAAAAACATGAGGGGCACCACGCCGAAGGGCAGTCGGATCACCTGTGTGTTCGGACGCGGAGGAGCACGAGGAGCACCACGCCGAAGGCAGGCGGATCACCCGTTGTTCGAGCGCGGAAGATCACGAGGAGCACCACGCCGAAGGCCGTCGGACCACCTGTGTGTCCGGACGCGGAAGATCACGAGGAGCACCGTGTCGGAGGCAGTCGGATCACCTGTGTGTTCGAGCCCGGCGTGCTCGCCACAAGTGTTGCACCTGCGACTCCTTCTTGAGGGGGCTGGGCCGGTGGGTCGGTTTAGCGCGGCTATGTACCCGCCGTCGCTGCCCCGTCGCCGTGCGTCGTCCAAGCCCGCGTCTGGGTCTGGCAGCTACGTTGCCGCCGTCGCCGCCCCGTCGCCGCCTCGTCGCGGCCCGTCGTCGGGGAGGCTCTGCCGCTTTGGCGGCTCTGCTGTCGCCGTCGCCGCCCCGTCGCCGCCTCGCCGCGGCCTCGCAGAAGCGCACCGACAAATTGCACCACATGGGTTGCACCACGTGGAATGCCCACCAAGATTGCACCACATGGATTGCACCACAAAAACTGCACCACAACTGCGCAACAAACGCAACAACAAATCTATTACTATCGACTCCCCGGGAACCGATGCAAAACACATATGGTTCAGACCCAATGTCTATCTTACCTGCGAGTTCGTACTATCCCACCCCGGCCGATATCGGTACCCAACAAAACGCGCACGCACCCGTTAATCCAAAGTAATAAACTGTCAAACGTTTGTTTCCAAACCTGAAACGAAGTTCACACGCGCGCGTCGTCGAGTGTCATGCCGAACTCCTTCAAAATCACTCGGTTTCGGAAAGGCTCCAAAATCGAATGTCCAAAACACATGTTAAAACAACTCCGGGTTTCGCGGCACGGATGTTCAACAAAAGCGTGCGCGCGCGCTCTTGCGAATTTTTTAAGACAAGCGCGAATTTTTCATCATGTTCATAACGGGCTTCGCGCGCGCGCATGTCGAAATCGTTCGCGGGCGGCGGAACTGGTGATTGCAGCAGTTTCTGAATGCCCGAACGGCGCGGGCCGATGATTCCGCGTCGAACTTGCCCGCGGCGCTGTCGTCTCCTGAACCGTGTGTGCCTGCGCTGGGGGGTTCCTCGTGGGCCGTAAGCGCTACGGCGCTGCGAACTGCCTGCGTGTTTGTTGCTCTAGATGTGTGCCACCCGCAGGAAAATGACCGAGTGGTGATTACGAGGCGGGTCGCACCGGCGCGCTGCTGGCGGCAGCGGGATATTTCTTCGCGGGGGCAGCCGGACATGCCAGATTCATCTGGTCGTGCTGCGGCAGTGGACGCTGCTCGCGCGCGTGCTGGGGGTGGCGCGATCCGTGTCAAATATTACCATGCGAGCCACTATCGCGCGTTTGCCGCGCGCGCGTTTCGAATGCCGTCCAAAAATTGCATCGCCGACGCGAAAACGCCGTCTTCGTCTTCGGCGTGGGCAGCATCGGCGCCGTCACTGGCTGCCCCGTCGTCGCTGCCAGCCAGCATCGTCGCCAGCATCGTTACTAACAACATCGCGCGTACCGTCGTCGACGTTGCCATGATACCGCGCCCGCCCAAGTCGCCAACTATCACTGAAAAGCCCGTTGGGGTGTGCCGAGCGGTCAACGCCGCCGCGTCCGCGTCGGTCGCGCCAAACCAGCTGGCAGCTGCGCGCGCGAACATGCGCGGGCTGGCGCGGCCGCAGAGATGCACCAGCCCACACCCAGCACGCATCGCAATCGCTCCCGCATTTGTTTTGCAAACCGAATTGCGGGCGGGTGGGTGGGTGGGATGTTTGCGCGACCCGTGGAGCTGACAACTTCAAGTTCGGCACATGGATATTCCTTCCTAAGAAAAGAATCGACTCTACCCCCCCCCCCCCCTTCCGGAGTCAACGATCCTCCCTGGGGTATTGCGATTTCACTCTTATTCTACACACTCGTCCGTCCGACCTGTGAATTCATGCGATCCCAGGCAAACCGACGTCGAACCTGCGCCCGCCCCCCCCCCCCCCTCCTCTGCAAAAAAACGACGCGCGCGCTTCTCCATCTCCAGAAAGCAAATTTCAACGATCCCTTGCAAACACATACCACAAACACCACAAAATCACCGCGCGCACGCCCATGTCAAAATCGTACCAACCACAACGCGCGCGCAAGCGTTACAGCATACGAACCCGTATACAAACCCTAAAGTTTTGCAACGCAGCGTTTGCAAAAATCCTGTCAGCGCGCGAATGCTGAAACCGTGCAAAAAACAATAGGGTTATTCTGAATTCTGCCAAATTCAGCGATTGCATGTCACCGCGCGGTGCACCCGCGACGCTCCTGTCACGCTCCTGTCACGCACCCGCGACAACACCACGAGGGCCACATGCGCGCAACGCCGCGCGCGCATGATCAGTCTGACGGATTTGTTGAACTTCCGCTCGCGCGGATCTCGTTTTCAACCTTGCCAGCATCACCGCGATCACCTGCCTCATCGGCAGATGTACATCAACACCGTCAGCGCGTTTGCCATCATTGGCGCCGTTGTCGTTTGTGCCGTCGCCCTCTTGAACATCGTCGTCGCTGGTGTCATTCCCGTCATTGCCGCAGCCGTTGCTGACGTCATCTTGTCATCGCGCACGTCCGAATATCGTCGATATGCTCTCCTTCATCACCGGATCACGGTGGCGAGCATCGGCAGTGAAGCTGTTACCATCGATGTTGTCATCGGTGGCGCCGCCGTCCCCCGCATCATGGGCTTGCCAAACCAGTTGCGGGTGGGAGGGTGGGATGTTTGCGCGAACAGTGGGGATGACGACTTCAGGTTCAGCCGGGTGGATTGCACCACGTAAATCGCACAACACACAGTGAGGGCAGCTGCACCACATGAATTGACCACGGCGGTTGCACACGATACGTCCCGCGACCGATCTGGCACACGTACGTTGCACAACACATACCTTGCATACAGTGCACGACCTACATTGCACAAAATTAACCGTACCACGCATATTGCACCACATAACTTACATATGAATACACTTGCATGCGTACATATACGTTCATACCAACATACAAACATACAAGCATACATACACATATACATCGGCATTTCACTACACCGTATATGTTGATCCAATAATGTCGTACAACACCGACTGCAGGAAACACGCAGATTGGGGCACGCGCTGGATGCCAAGCTAATGTATGAATGGGTAAACGCTGTGCTGTGGGCAAACAGTTTTCCGCGGGATGAACGGCGCCCACACTTGACAACGTGATATCATATATATATATATATACACATACATACATACATACACACATGCACGAATGTCAGCTTATGATTAACAAATATGTGCGGGGGGGCGCGCTCAAAACAACTGGTTTCCCTGCTCGGGCGGATCGCGGGGTGGCGCCAGACAGATTGAAAAACAACAGCGGCGGCGCCGGTGACTAGCGCCGACGCCCGGCCGCCAGCGAGAAGGAGACAGAACAACGCAGACTGGGGAGGAATGGGGGCGGGAGGCAAGGGCGGCAGAAGCAGGGACCGTGAGCCAGGGCGCCCCCGCACTTTCCGCACTCTTCCTGTCGAACCCATGCGTTTCCTTGGTCCTGGCCGCAGCCAGGGGAGCGCCAGCTGCCCCGCGGGCCCGCGAGCAAAGCGGGCTGTACAAAAGGGGGGCGTGGCCAAGCGGGGACTTGCCAAGCAGCTCGCACTGCCATTTCCGAGCGCCTCATGCCGCCGAAAACGGCAATGCATCGAGAACTGGCCCCTCGGCGGGGGGACCACCGAAACCAACTGTGCGCAACAGGTTTCGCAACTCCCCATTCCTTCCCCAGCCTTTCGTCCGACCCGGCAAGGCGGTCAGTCCTCCTCCCTCCCTCTGTCGTGGTCGTCGTCGCCAACGCCGCCGCCGCCGCCGTCGTCGTGACCGTCGTCGCTGGCTTCCTTCTCTCCCTCCTCCTCTTCCTACCCTCTTTGTCCACCTCCTCATCCTCCTAATTCATGCCGTTTGCCATCACCCGCGGCGCGGTGGTTCCCCGAGTTTTCGAACCCTGGCGAGCGTGCTGAACAAAACAACCTCGCCCCGCGGGGTCTATTCATCAGCCCTGGGGGGGGAGGGGGCATCATATATGAATCATGAACTGACATTAGTTGCGTTCGTGTTGGGTCACCGTGTGTGACACGAAGACAACCCGGGCGAAAACGAATAGTACATCCCGCGCCGTACAGTACGTTCACATACGCAGGTGTGCCCATATACGCACACAAACATGCATATGACCGTACGCCCACATGTTTACCTTATGTTTTATACACATGTTTTGAAACGGTGCTTGCACTTTGGGTTTCCCCATTCAATTTCGAAAAATCTTGGGCGGGTCCGCCAAAACTTTCGCCACGTCTCCGCCCATGTGCGCCTCGTGCACGCTCAGTGCCCTGGGTGGGTCCGCCGAGGTCTCGCCGCGCTCCCGCCCATGCTGCGCCTCGCTCGTGGAAGCCCCGTGCCCACGGCGGGTCCGCCGAGGTTTCGCCGCCTGCCCGCCCGCGGGAGCCTCGCGGGCGTCCCGCGTCCTGGGCGTGTCCGCGGGGAGTTCGCCGAAGACTCGCCACGCTCGCGCCCGTGCCGTCTCGTGGGCGCTCGTGGGCGCCCCAAAGCCCTGGATGGGTCAGCTTGCACAGCATGGCTCACACCGCATGGCTTGCACACCGCATGGCTTGCACACCATAACTCACACCGACCACGTTAGTCGGCATAGCTTACACACCATAGCGCACATGGCATGGGCCATACTGCATGGCTTACACGACACAACGCGCAACACATAGCTCGCACAGCATGGCTTGCACTCCAGAGCTTCCACCGCGTAACTTACACGACAGGATGCGCAAAGGCATGCACGCGGGAACACAGCGTGAAGCGGCAAACAAAAAAGGCATACCACATCAAAAGCCACACGCGCATGCTTAGACAACCTAGGCCACACGCAACGATTACTGTGATGGGTACGTTTGTTGCACGTGTACGCATTCCGTACAACAAAACGACATGCGCTAAGACCGTATATGTGTTGTGGCTGTACGTTTACATAGCGTGTGTACTACCATACATTGGTGTATGGTTTCATGTATCGCGATGTCGTAGGTGAACGGTATGGTGCACACCCTATAGCGCACTACGCGCAACTGTGCATGTGTGTGTTTGTGTGGATCTGCTACTTTGATGAAACAAAACACGCAAGAGGCTACCACGACAGCTGACTATGGGGAAGAGAGGTTACCGAATCGGCAAGGTGGGGCGAGGAGGGAGGGGATAGCGAAAGAAAGACAATGACGATGAGGATGAAGACTCAGGATCACATGTTGACAGCCAATCCGATGCGGCGCCAATCACACGGCGAAAATTGTACGTACCCATCCCCCAACCTACTTACCACCTGACGGGTTGTCTATGAAGTGTATTTTCACTGCCCCACACCGAAGCACGCCGTCCACAAGGGGTCCCGGAGCTCCAGGCACTCCTCCAATAGGATCCGTCAACAGCCCCAGGGGAGGAGCCAAGCAGCATATCGCGTACACATGGATTTGTTTATTGGTGTTCACGGTATCTACGAAGCCACGAGCCACCATGACGGAATCTGAAAGGCGCGCGACCTCACAACATGCAAGTGTCCTGAACCGTTGTCAAGCTGTCAAGGCGAGCGCGCGCGCCAAGCAGCGAAGGTGACACGTCGGAGGCCAAGACCGCCGCACTGATGTCCGTTTGCACCGTCCCGTTATCTCGACAGCGCCGTGGCCCTAACGAGGCAGGTCCGAGTGCCAGGGGCGAAGACCGCTTCGATGCGCGACGAGCTCCATCAATCATATGCCACACCGTGCTTTCCAGCATTGAGCAAAGTCGTGGTCAGGAAGGGGAAGAGAAGACGAGAGGCAAGGCAGGTGGGAAGCCTCCCTGGGCCCTCCGGAAGACATCGGAAGACACGAGTGTGCCAGGGTCGGGGGATATATCGTGAGGGGATGAGCGGAACGAGGGAGGGAGGACGGGCGGGACACCTCCAAAGACACATCGGGGGGTAGGAATATGGTGATCCGGACCTCAAGACCAAACGGTTTGAAGCTGCAAGTACCGCAAGGCAGGCGACATGAAGGACAGGGGCGAACAAACTACGTGTGGCGTAGGATCTGGCTCTTTCCTCGCTGTTTTGTTTCATTCTCATAGGCAACGCATTACAAACAAATGATACAGCTCGAGGCATGCGGGCGTTGCCACTTACGCCTTCGGTGGGGCATCCTATGAGGCAGCAAAGCGTGCGAAAGGTGTGCCGACATGAAGTGGACACGCGTACGGGCGCTGCTACTGAAGCCTTCGGTGGAGCTTTCGATGGGGCCACGGAGCGTGTGAACAGTGTGCGTACGGAAGCGCGTTTGATAGTGACGCTGCTGATTATCATGGTTTCGAAAATAGCGTAATGATGTTGAAAATGATGACGTTAAGGTTGATGGTTGTAACGATGAGATTCGTGCTGTTGTTGCTGTTGATGGTGATGATTACGATTGGGACATGTGTGTGGGGGACAGCGGCAAGGATGGGAAGAGGGGGAGGGGATATGGGGAGAAAATGTTGACGCGGGGCGCTGCGGATCCAAAAAAGGGCCCAACACCACATGATGGTTACGAAACGCAGAAGTGGAATTTAACAACAATAAGCAATACAAACAACAACGGACGCTCTCATGCCAATACATCCGACACCGTGTCGTTGGCACGGAAGGGGTGCTGGTACGGCAGCCTACATTCTAGAGTATTTAATGCCTGGGCCCCTGGTTTTCCAGCGGTCCATGGGAACGCTTGGGAAGTTTGGTGTTCCTGGGGTGTCGCGTGCGTCCTCTGGAAGCCAGGAAAGTCCCGTGATGGAGGGACCGGAATGGCGATGACAATGGGACAAACGAGAGCGTCGACTCGCCTCAATACCGCCCTCCGAATCTCAAGATGACTTGAAACGCCTCATGACGCCTCCGCCCCCAAGACAGCCCCGACAAGCCACGCTCGCCCCACTCCTTTTGGAACCCGTTGCTTGTTCAGTGTTCGCTGCGTTGGGCCCCGCAGACGAATCCAGGACCCAGCAGGGAGCCCCCAAAGCCGTCCTCACGCAGTCCTCGTGGCCCCCAATCAGGGCAGCTCGCCCTCAACAAACAAACACATGCCAGGCGCGTGGTTCCAAAATGCGTTTCCCTGCTCCGGCGGATCACGGCGGGGCGCCCGCCAGATTCGAATGCACCGCGGCGGCGCAGGCGGTGAGAGCCGAGCGGCGCCACGTCACCGGGGGGGCAGCAACACCTCCGCCTCCTCCTCCTCCTCCTCCTCCTCCTCGTCCTCCTCCTCCTCGTCCTCCTCCTCCTCCTCCTCCTTTGCTTTGTTGCAGATTGCCTCTCTCTCCTTCGCCTCCCGCTGCTGCTGCGGGGTGGTGGTGCCAAAATGGCGACACACAAGAGAAAAAGAGGAGGCGGGAGGGAGAGGCGCCTCACAGCTGACGGGCGGTGCCGACGTGGCACAAGCACGTAAGGGATGAATGGGGGGAGCGGCAAAGGCAGGCGGCAACGGCGCGCGGCGGGGGGAGGGTCGCAACGGCCCCCCTTTCCACGACAAGATGTCCTAAGGGAGGGTGCAACGTGGACCCGCTGTAACCGACGATGGCGATGGCGACAAGGCCGACGACGGGACGACCGACGACGCGCGTGCGCGCGCGCGTGTACGCTGCGGATGCCCCGTGGGCGGGGTGGTGGTGTCGCGGAGGGCGGCCGCGGACGACGACGGGGACGAGGACGAGGACGACGACGACGAGGACGACGGCGACGACGACATCGGACGACGGATGGCGACGACGACAACGATGACGACGCACCGCGGGTGCCCCAAACGTGGGAGGGGTGCTGCGCACGCCCGCGTAGTCGACGACGACGGCGTCGTCGGACGACGACACCGACGGCGACGACGACGCACTGCCTTTTGTCATATGGGATGGAGGGTGCTGCGTAGGCCCGCTGTAGCCGACGACGACGACGCCCCCGACGACGGGGACCACGACGACGACGACGACGACGACGACGACGACGACGACGACGACGACGACGACTGCGGCGGCGGCGGCGGCGGCGGAGGCGGCGGCGAAAGCGACGGCGACGACTGCGACGACGACGGACGACGACGCACTGTGGATGATGCCCCGCGGGGCGGGTGCTGCGTAGGCGGCCCGCCGTAACGACGACGGGCGAGACGACGACGGCGACGACGACTGAGACGACGACGACGCCGACGACGACATCGACGACGTCGACGATGATGACGACGGGACGACCGACGACGACGACGACCATAACGACGACGACGAAGACGACGACGACGTCGACGACGACCGTGGCACGTTAATAATCAGCCTGAAAGGGGGGACAACTTCGCCTCGGACGTACACGATCCCGAGTACGACTTCTATACCAAATTCAATCGTTTTGGCAACGCGCAGAACAAATACACGATCACATCGGCGGCATCCGCGACATCCCCCTCGGCGCGCGTGATCAAATACACATCTAAACGCAGTGTCGCGCGGCGCGGGGTCTACTTATCAGCCTTGGGAGGGCGGGGGGGGGTCATTTGTTAACCGCAAGCTGACATTCTCGTCCAAAGACGGCCCAGGAGGCCCTCAGGCCCCAAGACGACCCAAGAGGGCCCCAAGACGACCCACAAGGGCCCCAAGACGGCCCAAGAGGCCACCAGGACGGCACGAGAGGCCCCTCAAGGGACCCCAAGAGGGGGAAACAAACTGGCACTGCAAACCTTTTCCCACTCAAGATGGCACCCAAGGCCCCCGACACGCCCCAAGGAGGCCCCCGAGAGGCCAAAACGAGGCTCCAGGAAGGCCCCGAAGGGCTCGGAGAGGCCCTCGAGAGGCTTCAATACTGAGTCCAAGAATTCCCCGACAGGCATCCCAAGACACCCTATCATCCAAGAGGCCTCTGACCCACAATCCAGGCACGGTGGCGGGATGGGCCGAAGGCCAGTCGACAGCTGCTTGTGGATGGGGCCCCGGGACACACAAGTCAATACACACAAATCCGAGAACTCCCGATCGTTTTGCAAAATTTCTTGATGATACAGGAGAGAAATCCCAACCATAATCTTTGGGCTATAGGGCTATGAGGCTGTAGGGCTATAGGACTATAGGGCTATAAGCCTCTGGGGCTATAGGGCTATAGGACTGTATGATTATAGGGCTATAGGGTTATAGGGTTATAGGAATATAAGGCTGCAAGGCTGTAGGGATGTAGGGCTATAGGGCTATAAGGGCTATAGGGCTACAGGGATGGAAGGCTATAGGGCTACAAGGCTATAGGGCTGGAGGGCTATAAAGCTTTAAAGATATAAAACTATAGGGGTATGGGGCTACCCGGCACCCGGGCACCCGCGCACCTGGGCACGCGGGCACCTGGGCGTGCCAACGAAAAATGGCCCCAGCTCGCCTATAACCATATGAACCCGGTAGGACCCCTACAGAGGTAAGCTCTGATTGAGGAATTATCGTATTCCCCCACACTTCCTTCTTTTCCCCATATGTTCGTGGGAAACGGCGATGATTTGTGTGTGCGTGTGTTTGTGTGTTTGTGTGTTTGTGTGTTTGTGTGTTTGTGTGTTTGTGTGTGTGTTTGTGTGTCTGTGTGGCTGTGTGCTTGTGTGTTTGTGTGCGTGTGTGTGTGCTTGTGCTTGTGTGTGTTTGTGCTTGTGGTTATGTTTGTGTTTGCGTTTGCCTTTGCGTTTGCGTGTGTGTTTGTCTGTGTTTGTGTTTGTGCTTGTGTTCGTGTGTGCTTGTGTTTGTGCTTGTGTTTGTGTGTTTGTGCTTGCGCTTGTGTTTGTGTTTGTGGTTGTGTGTGTTTGTGTTTGTGTTTGTGTTGGTGTTTGTCTGGTGTTTGTTTTTGTGTTTGTGTTTGTGTTCGTGTTTGTGCTTGTGTTGGTGTTTGTGTGCTGTGTGTCTGTTTGTCTTTGTGCTTGCGTTTGTCTGTAGGTTTGTGCCTGTGCATGTGTGTGCGTGTGCGTGTGCGTGTGCGTGCGTGCGCGCGTGCGTGCGTGCGCGTGCGCGTGCGCGTGCGCGTGCGTGCGTGCGCGTGCGCGTGCGCGTGCGCGTGCGCGTGTGCGCATGCGCGTGCGCGCGTGCGTGCGCGTGCGCGTGCGCGTGCGCCTGCGTGCGTGCGCGTGCGCGTGCGCGTGCGCGTGCGGGTGCGCGCGTGCAGGTGCGCGCGTGCGCGCGTGCGCGTGCGCGTGCGCCCGCGCGTGCGCGTGCGCGCGCGCGCGTGTGCGTGTGCGTGTGCGTGTGCGTGTGCGTGTGTGTGTGTGTGTGTGTGTGTGTGCTTTACCCCTCCTGAGCTTGGGCCGGCGCCCGCCTAGGGCGGGAGAGGCACACCGGGCCCGGCGCGGGCGTCGGGGGGGGGCGCCGACGCGGAGGGGCCGAGCGCCGGGCCCGTGCTTGGAGGCCTGGGCAAGAGCACAAACACCAACACAAGGGGGGTGCCTCCACCAGGGGAAGGGAAATCCTAGATGCTGGTGCTGGTGGTGATTGAAGGGGAACTGGGACACACACACATAAATACACACAAATAAAGATATTCCCCATATTTTCCAATACTTTCTGGGTTTTTGTCTTCCCTCCCACTGCACCCGGGCACCCGGGCACCCGCGAACGCGGGCACGCGCGCACCTGGGCACGCGGGCACCCGGGCGTGCCAACGAAATAATGGCCCCAGCTTGCCTATAACCATATGAATCCGGTAGGACCCCATACAGAGGTAAGCTCTGATTGGGGAATTAACTTCTTCCCCCCCCACTTCCCTCTTTTCCCTATATGTTCGCTGGAAACGGCGATGATTTGTGTGTGCGTGTGTTCGTGTGTTTGTGTGTGTTAGTGTGTTTGTGTGTGTGTTTGTGTTTGTGTGTCTGTGTGGCTGTGTGTGTGTTTGTGTGCGTGTGTGTGTGTGTGTGCTTGTGCCTGTGTGTGTGCTTGTGTTTGTGTTTGTGTTTGTGTTTGTGCTTGCGTTTGAATTTGCGTTTGTGTGTGTGTGTGTGTCTTTGTGTTCGTGTATGTGTGTTGGATTCGTGTGTGCTTGTGTTTGTGCTTGTGTTTGTGTGTGTTTGTGTTTGTGTTTGTGGCTGTGTTTGTGGTTGTGTATGTGTTTGTATGTGTGTTCGTATTTGTGTTTGTGTTGGTGGTGTTCGTGTTTGTGTTTGTGCTTGTGTTTGTGTGCTGTGTGTCTGTTTGTCTTTGTGTTTGCGTTTGTCTGTGCGTGTGCGTGTGCGTGTGTGTGCGTGTGCGTGTGCGTGTGCGTCTGTGCGTGTGCGCGTGCGCGTGTGTGTGCGTGTGCGTGCGCGTGCGTGCGCGTGTGTGCGTGTGCGTGCACGTGCGCGTGTGAGTGTGTTTTACCCCTCCTGAGCTTGGGCCGGCGCCCGCCTGGGGCGGGAGAGGCACGCTGGGCCCGGCGCGGGCGGCGAGGGGGGCGCCGACGCGGAGGGGCCGAGCGCCAGCTCCGTGCTTGGAGGCTTGGACAAGAGCACAAGCACCAACACAGGGGGGTGCCTCCACCAGGGGAAGAGGAGGAGGAGGAGGAGGAGGAGGACGAGGAGGAGGAGGAGGAGGAGGTGTGGTGCTGGTGGCAATGTTTCGGCCACCTACCTAGAAAGCCCGAATATCGACACCATCACCGAGGTCGGGTTTATCTGCCCTCGGTGGAGGCACACCGCCGACGTTGGTGTTGGGGTCAACCCCTTGGCCTCCGACAGGAATCGGCGCAGACCTCGGACAGTTGATGCGTGTTCTAAGAAGGGCGGACACCTTCCACAGTGCAGTCGACCCGTGTCCCGAGGAGGCACGATTAAGGCTGCAAGGCCCGGAGCGCCCCCGTCGAAGCTCCTCGGGCGGGGCGCAGCCGGCGAGTGGCCGAGGATGGACCGAGGAGGCAAGGATGCAGGGGTACCCCTGGGAAGGTTGCCCATCCTTACTATGCGGGCTGAACGGCACAAACATGAAACGGCATAAACATAAACTTTCGACGTTCCGCGCATAATTCTTGGACCTGCGCTGGGCCGCCATCCCTGGCGCGCTCCGCGCGCCAGGGGCGCCGCCGGAGGCGCCGCCGGGGGGGGGGCCCAGCGCGGATCCAAGAGATCCGCGCGGGGCGCCAACAATTTTTGTTTATGCCTCCTTGTCTTCTTCGAAAGAAAGGCGGACACATTCACCAGTGCCAGAAGACGTCTGGGGAAGTGGCCGTCTTGAAAATGGGTCTGGCGGTGGAGGCGAAATGCCCTCGGCATCACCTCGTCGGGATCGTCCCACGGAAGCTGCGTCGCGTCGGCATAGCTCCCCTCGATCTCCTTCGGGCTCAGGTGCCGGACCCTTGGGGGAGTGTACTCGCCTTGGGGGTCCCTTCAGAAATGCACACGCCAATCCAACCCCTATCATTAGGCAGGGCATGTCCTCCTACGGGAAGTATTGGACGAAACATAAATCATGGTCAAACCATATTTCAAACTAGTGTTAAAACAAATCGTCCCCAGACTGCTTGTTGGCTATTTTGGAAAATTCCTCCTGTACAGGGATCTGTATGTATATATATATATGTGTATATATATATGCCCGACTTTTCGGCGGTGGACAAACCTCCCTTTAGTAAACCTCCCCTTAGTGAAAACAGCCTGAGACCGAAGCCCACGGGCCTGGACCCGCAAAAACTGACGCCCGCGACGCCCTCTTGCGAACCCAAAACGGCCAATTCCTGAATCGACGTGTCAGGGCTCAGGAGGTCTGTCCACCCCGGAACTTTAACCCTGTCAGCGAATTCCCAGACTTTGGAGTCCCGGAACGGTGCGGTGACACACCGTGCTGTGATCTCGAAATGCTCCAAGACCTCACCGCACGGTCCGTCACCGCACGGTCTTGGGACCCTGGAGGCCCCCGTCGCCCGAGACGTCCTCGGAGAACGACCCGAGCACCAAAACCGTGCGGTGACCCCGAATCCCCACCGACTCACCGCACGGTGTGGTCACCGCCCCGTTTGGGGGCCCCGAGAATGCCCAGACATTCTCCGATGTGGCCTCTTCCGATCCGCGGCCCCGGAGCTCCCGGCCCTTCCCGTAAGTCGGGCCTGTCCCCCTGCACAGGGATTTTGGACGAAAAATTAAAAAGAAGTCAAAAAATACACTGAAATACTCAAAAATGGTCAAAAAATAGTCCCCAGACTAATTTTATACTATCTTTGACTATTCCTCCTGTAGAGGGACAGGCCCGACTTAACCATTCCCCCGAGAGGCTCCTCTCTCGCGGTGGCCTCCTCCGCAGGGGGGCCCGCCCCACGGCGGGCCCCCGCGGAGGGCCCGCCGCTCGCGAGGCGCGCCATCCGAGGGCCGGGGCCCGCGAGTGCTTCGAGGCGGTCGGAGGGTCGGGCCGCATCGCGGATGCCTCGGCGGCGCATCCTAGTTACCAGCCTCGAACGTATCCCCATCCCTAAGATTGACACGCCAAAAGGCGATGACAATCTTGGGGAGTCGCCGTCAAAAAATGAGGGAATCCCTAAGATTGGCATCGTGATGAGGAGGTGCCCAGCATAGGGATGGGGATATGCTCCAGGCTGGTAATCCCAGGGCTCCCAACTTCGCGCGCCGCGCTCCGCGACGCGCGAGAGCGCGAACAGCTTCGCGCTCTCGCGCCGCCCCCCACAAGGGAGAACAGGAGGACGAGGATAAAGGGAAATTAGGACACACAAATAAATACACACAAATAAAAATAGTCCCCATATTTTCTCATATTTTCTGGGTTTTTGTCTTCCACCCCAATTCCCATATTTTCCCATATTTTCCTGGGAATCGAGGATTAATTGTGTCTGTGTGTTTTTTTCCCTCCTGAGAGGAGGGGGAGGGGGAACGAGGACCGCGAAGCTCGACAAAACTTCGCGCCCTCGTGGGAGCCCCTGCGCATCGGCGGTGCGTCTCCGACGTCGGGGTGGAGAAAATCGGGCTCCGCATCAAACCGCATCGCCGATGCATCGGCGATGCGGCGCGAAGCTCCGACCCCATCTACTCCGACCCCGATGCTCTGGATGGTTATTTATTGTATAAAGGGTGGGGGTGATGAGCCTCCTGATGGACCCCGAACCCAATCCCGGCCCCCTCCTCATCCTCCTCCTCATCCTCCTCCTTTTCCTCTAGCCCCTCCTCCACGCATTCCGACAGCACGTGCCCAACCCCCCAAGCGGATCCAAGGGTTTGGACGCCCGAAATGTGTACGGAAAACATGGGTACAATGCCCAACAACAAATGCTGTCCCAAACCAACAGCACAGCGGCACACTGTTGGGCAGGCGGCCTTCTGTCTCGACTGGACACGGGCCGCGGCGGCGTGGACAGCGAGTCCTGTGCAACATGAGCAGGAGCTGCTGCTGGGCATTGTGCCCACTCTTCCCGTACCCACCTCGCTCCTGCCACGAAGTGGGGTGGGGGGGGGGGCGAGGATTAACCCCCTCCAGAAAGCAAAAAGGTCCTAGAGACCTCGGGGGAGAACACGCGCGAGATCGGACGCGCCGTCGCTGCGGAGGCCTGGGCCACTGAGTGGGGGGGAGGCGAGGACTGCCCCCTTCAGAGAGCAACAAAGAGGCCCCTCCTCGCTCCTCCCCCGCGGGGGGGGGGGGGGGCGCGGCGTGTGCCGCGCCCGACCGCGGGGGCGTCCTATATATATATATATATTATATATATATATACATGTATATATATATTATACATATATATATATATATATATATATATATATATATATACACACATATATATACACACACTTGATGTTCGTCTTGATGTTCGTCTTCCCCCCACTTTCCATATTTTCCCATACTCTCGAGGCAATCGACGATCAATTGTGTCTGTGTCTGTGTGTGTGTGTGTCTGTGTGTGTGTCTGTGTGTCTGTGTGTGCCTGTGTGTGTCTGTGTGTGTCTGTGTGTGTCTGTTGTGTCTGTGTGTCTGTTGTGTCTGTGTGTCTGTTGTGTCTGTGTGTCTGTTGTGTCTGTGTGTCTGTTTTGTCTGTGTGTCTGTTGTGTCTGTGTGTCTGTTGTGTCTGTGTGTGTGTGTCTGTCTGTGTGTGTT